CACTAGCCCTCCACTACTGGGCAGAGGGCTGCAGTGACCGAGTGGTTAAGGTTTCGGACATCAATGATCACTAGCCCTCCACTACTGGGCAGAGGGCCGCAGTGACCGAGGGGTTAAGGTGTCTGACATCAATGATCACTACCCCTCCGCCACAGGGTAGAGGGCCGCAGGGACCGAGTGGTTAAGGGGTCTGACATCAATGATACCTAGCCCTCCACCACTGGGTAGAGGGCTGAAGTGACCGAGTGGTTAAGGTGTCTGACATCAATAATCACTAGCCCTCCACCACTGGGTAGAGGGCCGCAGGGACCGAGTGGTTAAGGTGTCTGACATCAATGATCACGAGCCGTCCACCACTGGGTAGAGGGCCGCAGTGACCGAGTGGTTAAGATGTCAGACATCAATGATCACTAGCCCTCCACCACTGGGTAGAGGGCTGCAGTGACCGAGTGGTTAAGGTGTCTGACATCAATGATCACGAGCCGTCCACCACTGGGTAGAGGGCCGCAGTGACCGAGGGGTTAAGCTGTCTGACATCAATGATCACTAGCCCTCCACCATTGGGTTGAGGGTTCGAGGCCTACGTGGGGCAGTCGCTATGTACTGGCCGCAGTTAAATGGATTTTCTCCATACCCCTGTTTTCCTTCACCGCCAAAATCTGGCACACGCTTAAATGACCACAAACAAACCAATTCATTCTAAGGGCTTTGCATTGGAGATGGGGTATGGTCAGACTCATGGCGGGGGCCCTCGCTGATCTGCCAGTGTTTTTGTTTCTGTTAGACTACACCATGCCATTAATAAACTGTTTTTTTTTTTTAATTTAAGTAGTTAAGTTATTACCTACAAGCAAATTCAAGCTGTGATTGTTGCTCCTGGTGTTGGAGCAGAAGTGGACCTGGATGTGCTGTAAGATAGCTGGCCACGAATGAATCTTTGTGAAAATGTTCATTACCACGATAATGTGGTTATCCTGTACATGTAGCATCATCAACATACCAAGAATCACACGGATATCGTACAAAAGCATTGCCAATTCAATTCTGCGAGAACTTTTTCCACTTGTTAATAAATGATGTGGTTATCTTGTTGTTTGATTTTGCTATGGCTTTGAATGACAAAAATGCAAGTCATTAAGCAAAATAGCTACAGTAATTTCAAGTATGAAAATTGGTTTAAGTAGGAAAGATTTACATTAATCCGCTGAAACTGACCATACTTTTAGCACCCAACCGATTATCTGCAAACCTATCGAACAGTTTCTTTAATATTAGTGCAGACCAGACAAAAATCTATTTACATACATATTGCAGCCGAAACATGAAATTTAAAAAGTATATTTAAATTTCCAGACATGTTGTCCTGTCAGTCCTACACGATTGATATGGAAATGGGATGATAACGTGGCTTGATGCAGCCTACAAGGCGTAGGTCCCAGGCACGTTTTGGAGGTAATCGACTGTTGCAGCCATTTATGGTTTCAATAGTTTGATGTATGGACACATAAAGAATCCAGAATCCCAGTATTGTCTCCATATACTCTCTAACTCCACTGATTTATGAGGATAAAGCTCACATCTCTCAGCTTTACTCATGTTCGTGTTGAATCTGCGATACGATTTAAAGGATTTGATTCCATATGTTTTCATGATATGGAATTTAAATATCCCAGAAAAGTCTTGTATCCTATACATCTGGATTTCTAAGCATTGCATCAATCTATTTACTTTATAGTGATATTTTGCTCTGAAAATGAAATACGACGGAGAAAAAGAATTATTACTTCTAATGCGTGCTGATGATTCTTTTCGCAAATTCTCAGAAAAATGTCAACAAGAAGACATAGCAATTTGTTTCGAGGATAACTATGAGTGCTTGGCTTGTGGTTGAGATATACACATCTGAATACCTATTATGTCTGGGGAAGGAAAGAAGCGACAATGTAAGAGGTGGATAGGTACCCACATACAACACAGATCCCTTTCATCAGGAGAACTGGGTGCGGAATGGTATACATGTCTGGTAGCGACAGCTAGAGCCATCCACAGCAATGCCTCAGCCGCTATTTGATCGCATGTGGTCATCTTAATGAAATTTCGTGCACGAGACGACATAAAAAATCAATGATACAGAGCTGCTAATCTCCTTACTCTGACAATACACCCCGGAATTATCGAGGAATTAAGCCATGTCGACTTGAACGGGAGTTTCGCAGTGCCTGTCATCGAGGTCACTGGCAATATAAATAGTCGTTCTTTCTAGGAGGGTAACGTGCTGAAAACACGCTTATTTGATGGAAGATAAGTAAATATGTCTTCATCAGGGGCTAGTGTTGTTTTCTCCTCTTCCAATTTATGTGTACCGGATCTTGATTGGGGTTGAGGCCAGCCCATAATTCAGCATTACACCTACTTTGGGCCATTAGAGACTGTATATAAACTCATTCCTAGTTTGAAAAAGGGTTTACATTTTTGTCATAATTCTGTACAGAAATATCAATGGCTGGATGGGTTATACTTCAGCTTCCTCGCATTCAATTATCTTTGTTGAATTATCTACGTTCTAACATCGGAGTTAAGTACATCTTCATGCTCCGTATGTCGGTAAATCAGCTTTGGGTTGGATCGGCTTCACCATCAGTGAGAAAATATTCTTTCAGTAGATGTGTGCTTATTGCCCTTATATAATGTCACTATAAATATTTCCTCAGCGATTTCATCATGCGACTTCTATCAAGTAAACAATACAGGGGAAATGAGATCCAATGTCTGTATTTCCAACGTCTGTATTCCGCAAGTTTTAAACTTCGGTAGCTTCCAGTCTTTGCCATGACCTCTGTCAAGTAAGATGACAAAGTCTTTCAAAATGTATCATTTCCTGGTGTTTAAAAGACCAAAGTCATCTGTTCTATGAGATAGAGAGTGAAAAAAGTGTGCCTATTATTTTAATTTGTTCTTGTAAAATATTTGTCGAGAAATGTTTAGTAAAACTGTTTAAGAACACCATTCGTTTTGTGTTGTATAAGAAGTGACCAAATAAACTCTCAATCTTGTTGTGAGGGATTTGGTCAGGATTTTTTATAACATTCGTAACAAATTCTCCAAGCATTAACTGAGTTTATGTTGCCCCCATTTAAGTAAATATTGTACCGTTACGTAAATCCATCCACAATCTGTTGTATGCCATTGGCTGTATCATTAATCATACATAAACATAGATATTGGCCGCTCACGCTTAGCAGATGGGCTTTCTCCTAATAACTTTCCCCAGCATAGATAACCCCAGGGAAATATAAGAACTCTCCTAATCTTCAAAACAGCGGAGTTCCGTTTTATTGATCAATTTATTGATTTCACTAAATGCAATTTCAATCTTCAATTTCTTCGACAAAATGATTTTTATAGCTTTATCTTTATATTTTTTTACACTTTGCCATCTAAAAAACTCTTGATAGTAAATCTGTTTTAAAGAAGTTGATGGTAGAATGAATGTATTCCGGTGCAGGGAGCCTATGAAGACTTGCGCAGATAACATGACGGAGATATCGTAAGGCGTTCTGTTGCTCCAGTACAAAACCACAATATGATCGGATATATAGGATGTTGGGAACAAAACACTGGGTTTGGCTGGGAAGACAAATTGTTCAGACATTACGTTTGTTGAGAAATTAGTGAAGAAACAGATGTCATGTCAACATATGTTATATACTAAACATATGCATGAGATTATAAAAGGGATGGATTCTTTCGATTGAGTAGGTGGAAACCTACCGAGACATTTAATTGTCATAGCTTATGTGTGGCTTCTCATGGTGGTGTTGAGGTCTTTAAAACAGGTATCAAGTGGGTTTGAATCAATAAGAAAACAGCTTTTCGAACTCCTACATTTCGATAAAAAAAAAAAATCCCCTTTTCTCTCGGAAACAGAAGTTTTGTACCAACATCAGGTTCCATAGCATAAGCATTAAAGAACTAACGTTCATTTGGCATAAATTCAAGAGAATTTGTATTACCACAGGCAAAGTTTATCCATTCCTATACTAATATAAATTGTCAGCTCCAGGATGCTATTTTGTTTTATATTTTTATCATTACGTTATGGTAACCGTTGATGCAGCTGGTATCGGCACTATCAACAGACCAGTAAAAATGCCTGTGTGACAGTAATTGTTTACCGAATTCTTACAATATTTGACAGCAAGATATGCAATAAGTTTGGAAAGGTAAATTAGTAAAAAATGCAAGAGTGAGTATAATCCTCACCCTCAAATTCCATCCTCTGCTGACCAGACATGTATAAAGTTATACTGACAGACTACATACATATCGGCACCCTAATCTAGGGGATAGCTTAGAAGATATTGATATATGTCAAATATTCTGCATCCGGTTTCATAAACTTCCAATTGGACACCTGTATATATACTTAAAATATGTTGAAAAATATACAAAATATACTCAAAGGTTCCTGGCAAATAGATATACTAAATGCTATTTCATTTGGCAAATATGACCACAATTACTTGACGTTAACTTAGCAAATGCTGAAATTTACTAAGTAAACACACTAGATTATATCCTGGCATTATATACAGTGCTCAAGTTTACTTGCCAAATGCACTTACTCGCATTGATTTACTTTTCAGTGGTAATTGTAATTTTTGCCTTAAAGCCCAGAACAATTGGTAATTTTCTGTAACATTTAAAGAACCAAACTTACATTTGATGTTCCATCATATATGTTATATGATTATCATTTTGCAGAATTAATGTGCAGATTTACAATAAACATGTACTAGATTGAGATTGTAATTTAGCATTATAACTAAGTAACTGAAAACATAAAGTTTTAACAAGTACAAAATCTGAGATAATTATCGACAGGGATATCACTTAATGTAATAAATTTTTTCTGAACAAGATTTACAATAAACATGTGCCACATTGAGAGTGCAATGGAAGGGAATGAACAGTTTTAACAAGGAATCATTGACTTAAAATCACTTGCTGTAGCTTGTGGGTGGGTTGCTGTAACTTGTGGGTGGGTTGCTGTAGCTTGTGGGTAGGTTGCTATAACTTGTGGGTGGGCTGCTATAACTTGTGGGTGGGCTGCTATAACTTGTGGGTGGGTTGCTATAACTTGTGGGTGGGCTGCTATAACTTGTGGGAGGGTTGCTGTAACTTGTGGGTGGGTTGCTGTAACTTGTGGGAGGGATGCTGTAGCTTGTGGGTGGGTTGCTATAACTTGTGGGGGGGTTGCTGTAGCTTGTGGGTGGGTTGCTGTAACTTGTGGGTGGGTTGCTGTAACTTGTGGGTGGGTTGCTGTAACTTGTGGGTGGGTTGCTGTAGCTTGTGGGTAGGTTGCTATAACTTGTGGGTGGGCTGCTATAACTTGTGGGAGGGTTGCTGTAGCTTGTGGGTGGGCTGCTATAACTTGTGGGTGGGTTGCTGTAGCTTGTGGGTAGGTTGCTATGACTTGTGGGTGGGCTGCTATAACTTGTGGGTGGGTTGCTGTAACTTGTGGGTGGGCTGCTATAACTTGTGGGAGGGTTGCTGTAACTTGTGGGTGGGTTGCTGTAGCTTGTGGGTGGGTTGCTGTAACTTGTGGGAGGGTTGCTGGGAGGGTTGCTGTAGCTTGTGGGTGGGTTGCTGTAGCTTGTGGGTGGGTTGCTATAACTTGTGGGTGGGTTGCTGTAACTTGTGGGAGGGTTGCTGTAGCTTGTGGGTGGGTTGCTATAACTTGTGGGTGGATTGCTATAACTTTTGGGTGGGTTGATGTAGATTGTGGGTGGGTTGATGTAGCTTGTGGGTGGGTTGCTATAACCTGTGGGTTGGTTGCTATAACTTGTGGGTGGATTGCTATAACTTAGCCTAAATCTTATGTGAAGGCCAACTGCCAAGCTGGCACATAAGGCTCAGTCTTTGTTCTCCCTACGGAATTGACCTTTGTTGTCTTACTGGTGTTGATAAGTTTGTTTAGAAAGCCAAAATGAAAGTTTAGTTATTATATTGTATCTCTGCCATTTCGAACAAACACTTTTTAGAGCTCCACTGGATAAGATTTATGCGTTGTAAAGGATAGATAATTCGTTCCCAATAGGACATCAATCAGAATGGTTTTTGATTTGACTGTCCTATCTGAAACCCCCTCCTTATTTACATTCGAAGAAACAAGACATTGTGAATCATCTAAACCTGTGATTTTAGAAATCTTTACCCCAAGCGACTGCAAGTGATATAGAATTATTTTATCGTAAAATGTAGTGGTTTGTAACTTTTTAAAGGGACTGCTTTGATCTATGTACCAGTGGGGATTTGTTTATTGTACAAACAATCTCTGTAACTTCTACACCCATGCTCTTTGCAATAATCCCAAGAGAAAAGTTGCTTTACCGTAGTAAAAGAGAAGATATAATAAAAAGCATATCGGGACCATTTGTTGTAAGATAACCACTGTAAAATGCACCTTCCTGTTGTGTGCTGGGAAGCATGTACATGAGGCCCTGATAGCTCCCGTGTAACAGACAGCCCTCCCATCAGGTCTAATCAAAATTACTATCCACTAACACCTCAAATATTTCAATTTTTCCAACGATAGGAAGCTAAGCTCTTAAATCAAACTTAAGATTTGGTAACATCAAATAAAAAGTGATGAAATTGTAGATAGGCATTTTGGATTTTCTTTAAAATGATAATAGAAAAACTTTAAGTATGTTAAGAGCAGGAAAAAAATGATAAAAGTTATATAATTTTTATGAGTGTGCTTTTGGATCGATTCAAGCAAAGTTCCAAGCATGTCATCCCTGTGCCTGAAGTAGACTAATCTGGATCAATCGAGGGAAGAGTTCAATGTGTGAAACTAATTAGGGTGTGAAGGTCGAATATTGATAATTCATTTAGAACAGTTTTTATCACGGGAGATGAAAGGATTATGTCATAAATAGACGGAAGCATCGAACGCTAGGTGAAATTGTCTGAGATTTAAAAATAGGCAAACATTCTTGTACAAAACCTTAGTTAAAATGGGCCACTTTTTAAATTGTTTGGAAATGTTATTAATGGAATGATATTTCTGAAATGGGTTTTAAAAGTTGTTATGGGTAGCGCATGAAGGTAAGTTAAGGATGCTGGTATAGTGGGGAATACACGTCGCGATCAATATCATTCAATTAGAAAAGTTGTGAGAGTTAGGCAAGCTTCCTGGTTGGGTGTGAAACTGTGACTCATTCCAACTCTTATAGATAGACTTAATCATTATAGATAGACTAATTATTATATCCTCTTTTCCCTGTGAAAAAAAAATTGATTTACAAAGAATTCAGTAGAGATAACAATGCATTTAAAATGTTGTGAAGACTACAAATTGATAGCTTTTAATGTATTGGTGTTTTGTGTTCAACCATTCATTACACATGGATTAAGTGAAAGTGTAAGCGTAAAAATTTCATTTTGTAATTTAATGACAAAAACAAACGGTCCGCCTTTGAGAAGCATCATCTGTTGAAAGATAACGAAGCCATGTTTACAGGCTGTTTGTTATGGGAACAAGTCAGCATTACATCAAGGTCATGTTCTTATTGAAGTGTTGGAAGGAAAGATAGTGACATCTAAAACTTGTAAAACCGGAAGATTGTTTGTAGAATCTGTCGGATGGAAATTTGTTGTCTGAAAAGAAGACAGGAGAGTGTCGACAGATATTTTAAAACATGTCTGTCTGTAATTCAAGATTAAAATAAAATTTATAAAAGAATTTCTCTAAATGATTTTAGTAAAAAGTGAGTGAATTGCTTTTACCTTTTGCATTACCACATGTGAGAAACCATTACACTGTCTAGCCCAAATACCTGAAAACTAGGAGCATTATGATATTAAATAGTTTGGCTGTCGTGCAAGTATGAAGATCATAAGTGTTATTTTGAGTGGAGTTCCCTAGGTACTGCTGTACAGACGGATATATACAGGAACAGCAATCTAGATAGCGTTGGAATTTTATTGAAACATTTTACATGTTATAAAATAGCAGGTAATCTCTGAAGCCTTACGTGAGAGATTTGTGTTTGAATAAATGGGTTCTACTGAAAGTAACCTGGGTTCTATTGTAAGTAACCTGGGTTCTATTGGAAGAAACCTGGGTTCTATTAAAAATAACATGGGTTCTATTGGAAGTAACCTGGGTTCTATTGAAGATAACCTGGGTTCTATTGGAAGTAACATGGGTTCTATTGGAAGTAACATATGGGTTCTATTGGAAGTAACCTGGGTTCTATTGAAGATAACCTTGGTTCTATTGGAAGTAACATGGGTTCTATTGGAAGTAACATATGGTTTCTATTGGAAGTAACCTGGGTACTATTGGAAGTAACATGGGTTCTATTGAAGATAACCTGGGTTCTATTGGAAGTAACATGGGTTCTATTGGAAGTAACATGGGTTCTGTTGGAAGTAACATGGGTTCTATTGGAAGTAACCTGGGTTCTATTGAAAGTAACATGGGTTCTATTGGAAGTAACATATGGGTTCTATTGGAAGTAACATGGGTTCTATTGGAAGTAACATGGGTTCTATTGAAAGTAACATGGGTTCTATTGAAAGTAACATGGGTTCTATTGAAGGTAACATATGGGTTCCACAATAACTAGCATGGCTTTCTCTGTAGGTAAAATTTTATCTGTTTAATGAATGGTAAGCGGCGGTGTATTTCACAGTTTTGTGTTTTGTTAAGAATATGATAATAAATATAGTACTACAGGTTCTAATTAACCAACAAAGTGACACTGGTACAGTCCTATAGCACCAGATGTGTTACAGCAACTGGGGTTGTCATAGCAATAGGAGTTGTTACAGCAACTGGGGTTGTCATAGCAATAGGAGTTGTTACAGCAACTGGGGTTGTCATAGCAATAGGAGTTGTTACAGCAACTGGGGTTGTCATAGCAATAGGAGTTGTTACAGCAACTGGGGTTGTCATAGCAATAGGAGTTGTTACAGCAACTGGGGTTGTCATAGCAATAGGAGTTGTTACAGCAACTGGGGTTGTCATAGCAATATGAGTTGTTGCATCAACTTGGGTTGTCATAGCAACACAGGTTGTTGCATCAACTGGGGTTGTCATAGTATCAGAGGTCGTCTCATCAACAGGAGTTGTTTCATTAATTAACTTGAGTTGTCACTGCGTAGGAGTTGTTTCAGCCTGGAAGTTAATTTTACAGCAACTATAGATGGTATATTACTGTCAGGGTCTCGTACATAGGAACAAGGCTGTAAACATTGGTTAAACTGTGCAAATAAAATCTTATCAGAATTACAAACAAACAAGAAAAGTCCCCTCTAAATCGTTAAGGGATTGGCCAGAAAAGTCTGCATAGCAAATCTTCCTATAGGATTTATGACAAAATCCTTTGGTGATGCATCTCCGGCAAACTTGTGCGTATCGTGCATGGCAGCTCTCCATTTGTTAGAGCACACACACATCAATGTGAAATGGAGATTGACGATTTTGTGATATCACACAGTGTTTGCCGTGTACTAGGGGAAACATAACGACTGAGGCTCCGGATCATTACCTACCAACAGCTCCAGTGATGTTGTAACAGTTACTGGCAGCTTCAGACACTTTCCATCAAATCACATTTTCTTTCTCGTCATGATTTTCTTTAAATTTGTTATTTCCATGAATTTCATTCATAGATGTATATATGTGTTGATTTTATAGAGTAATAATTCAACTTTTTGACGCATTAAGGCTGAATGCATCAGCACCATTCCTATATCCATTTACTTCAAATTGAATGAGAATCTTTACATGGTCTTGATCAAATCTTCAAATCATTTCATTTATTGATTTGAATTAGATCTTGTGCACAGAATAACTACGAATCATTGAAAAAACATGATAATGAGAATTGGAAAAAACAAGTCCTCCTGTTTTGCTACGGCTAGATTATGGATTCTGTAGTGGTCATCAGATAACAAGAAACGTTTCTAAGGACCTCGTTATATTTGTCCTTAAGGCCTGTTTATAAGGTTAGCACTATTTGGCCAGGAGACGTTTCTAGTGGAACTAATTAAGGGAATTTTCTCATTACGATGGCCAGCAGGATAAAAAGACTCCAACATTTATACGCCTGATTCTCACTTTTTTTTTTCTATGTTATAAGAGACTTGTTATTTTTGAGGTTGTAAGGAGCTTATTTCCTAGCTTGTGATTGTCAACTTGTCTATATAATATGGGACCATCGAGCCAACAGGAAGAATTCTTAGAAATGCTTCTCGCCGTCGCAGGGTAATTCTGATATACAAGGAAATCCATGCAATGTTTACTAACTCCACGGCTTCATCAGCTGACATTGATTTCCCGTCCCTCTAGGTGACGGCTCTAGCTCTAGTCGTACATAACAGCTTTTCCTAATAAATATGTTGTTTAAAAGCCCCCTCCCCCTCCTGTCTGGTTGGACCAACTTCCAAATGGCATGTTGGAAAATTCTCCTTGAATTGTAACGGAACTTGTACCACATATAGAATGGTTGCTAGACGGATGCTTTGCAGACCGAGTGTTCAATATAATGTTTTATAAAAATAAAAATGGTTATTTTCTGAAAGGCGCTATGGAGATTTGCTTCTGCTGAGGAAGTGTCCAATGGCATTTACTCTCAGCTTCTTCCCGTGCATGCAACCAATATTTCTTACACAACTTTTAAAAATGTCACCGGATGCGGTGAATAAGTTTTGAAAGCACTGCGGAAGAAATTAAAACAATTGGTTTAAGTGAACTTTTAAAGCTTTACGTCAACAGTAATTGTGTACAAAATTTGTTTTAATTTAATTTCTGACAACACATTGCATGGTCTTCCAGAATCGCAAAGTAACCAAGAGCTAGCTAATTCCTAATATAGGGTTTCTTAGAAAACTTGAATCTTTGAGAAATATGCTCTAGATATTTTGCTGAAGGTATTGGGGGATGTACTTCAAAATGTTCTGCTCAATTGGTTTGCAATCTAGCCTGTGATTCAGTAATGGGTTGTTAAATGTGGTGGGTATGCATCTGTGATGTTTTCATTACACTAGATCTTATCAATTATTTGTGATTGGTCACTAAAATGTGATTTTTCTTGTGATCCTGCCTCTGATTGGTTGATGATACTTTAAGCTTCTTTTGATTGGTTGCTTTGTACATATACTTATCTGTTGTTTTTGTATTTTCCAGGGTTGATGGCATTACAGTAGAAACTTGTGCTGATATCTTCACAAAGGTAAGTCCTGAATCCTTGTTGTGTTATACAAAGTCTTGCTCTGGACTACCCAGCAAGGCACTAAACTAAAGTCATCGTAAAAACTATAAAATTGTGAAGGTAAAACAGCTTTTCACTGTAAGAGTTGATGGATAGATTCCATTGATTGAACGTCCGACCTTCTTCTCGGACAACTAATTCGGGATTTCATTGTGGAATATTAGAAACATAATCTCTTGTCTGCCACATATTTCTTCACCCTGTTGCTGGAGTACTCTTCCCCAAAGGATTCCAGTGCTTTAAGTTTCGTATAAAAAACACCTGTAGAGGTTAAAATAAAAGTAAAATATGTCATCATAGAAGAGTCGAACTTCGGAAGTAAGAGTAGGCTACAGTTGTACGGTAAATGATGAAAGCTGCAGTCACTACAGTAGACGTTTTACTTTAATAATAAGACTAGGCTCGGAACACAACAGAAGATGCATTTTTCAAATGTAAGAGTAGACTACAGTAACAACAAAAGATGATTCCTTCAGAAGTAAAAGTAGGTTGTGGTCGCTGAAGAAAATGCTTACTTCATAACAGACTACAGACTGGGAAAGTCCGTCAGAAGTAAGAGTAGGCAACATTCACTTCTGAAGATTTTTATATCATAGGACTGTAACGAAACATTACATAACGATACAATATGTATCACGATACGATATGTATCGCGATAATGTAGTCACGATACGATACCGTAGTCACGATACGATATGTATCACGATACCGTAGTCACGATACGATATGTATCACGATACCGTAGTCATGTTAGGATATGTATCACAATACTGTTGTCACGATACGATATGTATCACGATACGATATGTATCACGATACGATATGTATCACGATACCGTAGTCACGATACGGTATGTATCACGATAATGTAGTCACGATACTGTAGTAACGATAGGATATGTATCACGATACTGTAGTCATGATACGTTATGTATCGCGATAATGTAGTCACGATACGATGTGTATCACGATACTGTAGTCACAATACTATATGTATCACAATACTGTCGTCACGATACGATATGTATCACGATACTGTAGTCACAATACGATATGTATCACGATACTGTAGTCACAATACGATATGTATCACAATACTGTTGTCACGATACTGTAGTCATGATATGATATGGATCACGATACTGTAGTCACAATACGATATGTATCGCGATACTGTAGTCACGATACAATATGTATCACGGTACATATAGTAACAGTAGAAGCAAAGAGAATAGATATGTTGCAAACATTTAATGGTTATATCAAATCTGGAAAAATATTTAGTCCAGACAAGTCATGACTTTAAAGTGTCACACAATTAATGTCTTTCTATATGTATGTCAAGCTGGAGCTGTCACTTACCATGTTGTAACGGATATGAGTAGACTTAATTCAGAAACGACAATATCTGAAAAATGTTGTAGCGGTATCGTGACCCCCCCCCCCCAAAAAAAATTGTGTATCGTACCGTATTCAAAATATTGCAATATAAAATAGTCACACAGAATATATCCTTGCAGCATGACTAATATATTGGATGTAAGTGTAGGCTGTGGCCAATACAGAAAACACTTCATGGATACAAGTTGGCTTTGATCAAAACAGATTTGGAAAAGTAAGCAAGAATATTATCCTGTTCAATCTCTTCGTCATCTTTTATACTACCTTTCACTTTACATCAAACTGAATGTTGGTTTTCCTCAGAGAACTTTGCATTATTTTCTTTTTTTAACTTTCGGAATCACGGATTCATCTATTTTGATAATGGAAGTATCCATTTGGTATAGATGACACTTACTGTGAATCTTGGTTAGAGCGGGGACACTGTCTGATGGAGCTCGTTTCTATGCGTTGGATTTACTGTAATGGCAATATTTTAATGCCTAATTGAAATAGAAATGAATTAAAATAGAATAACCATAGGTAATAAACTGTGTCAAATCAACGTCTCCATTCCATTAGCTTTTAAATGGTAAAACGTAGCAGTTGTCATAAAAATGCATGTCATTTTACACCATCAACATTTATATGTCTAGCCAATATTTCATTCCCATTAGCTATTCAAACGGTAATTTGTTTGAATTGAAAATGAAAACACCAGTTAGCTATTAGAGTTCAAATGAAATTGGAGGCTCAATTGTACAATGCCATTGGTTTTGTTAAGAATGAAAAGGTTTGAATTGTGATAAAAAGTCAATTCAAAGTTTCAGTGGGTTTTTTAAACCGATTTCTATTAAGCATTGTACAGGATATGGAATGTCAATATACCACCGTCGGATGTGTCTCTATGTTAAACAGCACATCAATCACTGGTACTGGGCGATCAAGATATGAATTGCTCAATGTGTTTTGTAAATAAATACCAAGTATCACTGTTGAGAATTACAGAGCATACAAATGGCTTTGGTAAATAAACTGTAAATGTAGGAAAGGTTCATTATCAATTGGTATTTATAGGCAATGAACTACACTACCATCGTGTCATTTGTCAAGTCGTTATTAATAAGAACAATACAAAGCATTGGTTACGATCATTGATACATAATTATATCGTATACAGAAAATTGATTTGTACAAAGAGTGCACACCAACTGGTACAGACCATCACTGAAATCAGATTTAGGTACACTTGTGCTTTAATGCTCATTCATCCCGAAGGATTAGGGGTGTTCAGGGTCATTTATGCCAAAATGAGTTGTTATATTTATAATGAGTGATAAATGAAGTACACGGACGTAAATATGAAATTCAAAATTCATTTGACAACTGGTATAGGAAGTATGGCATAACAAAGTGAGGTAGAATATCATGTATTGTATGCTATTTATGTTGAAAATTGGCTATTTGGAATAAAATAAAGAAAATACTGTCCAATTTTTGAAAGCCTTCGCATGCACTTACCAAGTAAATATTGAGCATGCTTAAACATTATAAAGTCATACCAGTGGTCATTCGTTGAAGGTCAAAAGCGAAGGATTTTATTTCTGCATGCTTACTGTCCAAAAAATACATATATTTAGACTATTTCTGTATGGCATTGCATTTGTGTTGCTATGGTAGGGTATCTATGCAAGCGCAATAAAAAAAAATAAAAAAATAATATCAAAATAAAAGAAATTGTAATTCAAGTGTTTTTTTTAATCGTCTATTCAAGATTGTATTGTTTTAGAACTTTGATATCTTACAGTTAGTGAGGTCAGGGGATATAGCTTTCCTGATTTGTTGGAACCATACCCAGGGTCAAAGTTCAATATAGGGAAATACAGTATTAGTAATTTTGGAAAATCGCTTTTGCACAATTCAAAGCTTCAAGATTTCTTACGTTGCTTCGTCTAGATTGTTTAACCTTACAACAGTAAAAGGTGTGATGCCCAGGGGTCAAATTTGAAAATTGGCAGTTATAGCGAAGATATTTTCTGTACCACTGGAAATTTAATAGATAGCATGACCTTCAGTTAAGGTTGCTTAGAACTCCTGGGATGTATAAAATGGGCCAGACACTAATAAGTCAAAGTTTTATGCTTTGAAGAGAGAAAAAAACTCAGTGATCCAGGCCCCGTGGGCCTCTTATTTTCAATGTATTGTGGTTGGTACAAAATAGAGTTTATGTACATAGTTCTGTCAGACTGGGGTTAAGGTAAATATATATTGGTATCAGTACCAGTCTCTGAAAAGATATGACAAAAGAAGATCTAACATTATTTTTACAGTGTTTGGACTCTATTTCCCTGCATGATTGCGTTTAAAAACAGTCTGATTTCCCACGAGAGAACTTTTTCCAGAGCTGTTTAATTACTCTGCCCATACTTGTAGGCGGCACTGTTTGTCAAAAGGTTTCAATCGTCTTGTTGAACAGAAAAAAGCAGACTTTGAAAAAGTGGTCCCAGACACAATGTGATAGCAATGATTACTCTCAATAATATTGAGAGTAATCATTGCTGAGTTATGTATTTTCAAGATTGGCTGAATTGAGGATGATCATTTTGGCTAGTATCTTAATTCCGAATTCAAAATTATAGCTATAATTAGATTTTGAAGTGTCCTTTTGAGATACAGAAGTAGATAATTTTATCCAGGTTTGATGAGTATATCTCTGCCCATTGTACAATAAAGATGGCATCTTTTCATCATTCCGTAACACTTTCATTCTCTTCATAATGTAACGAGCCAAAATATCGCAGAAAAAGTAAAAGGATAATATATGCTTCATGAAAACCAGACTTCAGGAATTAATGCTCTTTCCTTTTAATTTAATTTCCATTGTCATACATGCCAATTAATTGAAAAAATAATTCATAATTTTCCTTCTGTATTTTAAAGGAAATCAAATATTTTATTCAAATCCATATGAAAGTATTTTTGTATTGAACGCTGTTGTATACATGATGAACATGAACATTAATTGCTTTATTTTCTTGTTATAAAACACTACATTGCTTCATTAATAACTCTTCTCAACCACAAAGAGCATGCATCTCTTTTCATGAAGTACTATGACAATACCTACCGCAGTTTGATTCGGTCACGATCAGTTACATTCTTGTAAAATAAGAGTATGGAAATGATGGCTGAGGAGATCCAATTCATTTGCCTGTTTGACAAGTGGAGGTAATCTATGTTTGACATTTGATGAAAGCGAATCCAAATAACTCTTAATGAACTGCCATTTTACAGTTCATTTGAAATCCGAGAATAAAAAACGTTAGGTTGTGAATGCGGTATCGATTCTCATTTTCACAGATGTAAGTTAAAAAAAGTGTTACTGGTTTAATGACTGTAGGAGATTGCCAGCTGGTTACTTACATTGGAACACGAATCTTTAAGTAAACATGGATGTTCACAGCATCCAGACTTGCCTTTCTCAATTACCCTCAAGGTTATGTACTAATTAGGCATATTGGCTCTCCACGATTCAATATGTTTTTTTCACAGATTTGATGGGGGTTGTGGGATGATAAGTT